GAAGAGACTCTGAAACTTGCCCTTGAGTGCAGAGTAGCTAGCTAAAGCAAATGGAAGAAATGACAAGATAAAAGAGCTGAACAGAAGATTTTAAAGAGTAACTCAAGAAGATAAAGTCAATTATAATAATGAAATGTGCAAAGACCTGGAGTCAGAAAAGCAAAAGGGAAGAACAAGCTTGGCATTTCTCAAGCTGAAAGAACTGAGGAAAAAATTTAAGCCTCGAGTTGCAATACTGAAAGATTCTATGGGCAAAATATTGAATGATGCAGGAAGTATCAAAAGAAGATGGAAGGAATACACAGAGTCACTGTACCAAAAAGAATTGGTCAATGTTCATCCATTTCAGGAGGTGGCATATGATCAAGAACCAATGGTACTGAAGGAAGAAGTCAAAACTGCAATGAAGGAACTGGCGAAGAACAAAGCTCCAGGAACTGATGTAATACCCATTGAGATGTTTCAACAAATGGATGCCCCACTAGAGGCACTCACTACACCAAGAGATTTGGAATACAGCTTCCTGGCCAACTGACTGGAAGAGGTCCATATCTGTATCCATTCCAAAGAAAGGTGATCCCACAGAATGTGGAAATTATTGAACAATATCATTAATAGCACATGCATGTAAAATCTTGCTGAAGATAATTCAAAAATAGTTGCAGCAGTATATTGACAGAGAACTTCCAGAAATGCAAGCTGGATTCAGAAAAGGATGTGGAACGAGGGATATCATTGCTGATATCAGATGGATCTTAGGTGAAAGAAAAGAATACCAGAAAGATGTTTACTTATGTTTTACTGACTATGCAAAAGCATTTGATCGTGTGGATCATAACAAATTATGGATAACACTGAGAAGAATGGGAATTCCAGAACGCTTAATTGTACTCATGAGGAACTTGTACATAGATCAGGAGGCTGTCGTTTGAACAGAACAAGGGGATACCACATGGTTCAAAATCAAGAAAGGAGTGCGTCGATGTGTATCCTTTCACCATACTTATTCAATTTGTATGCTAAGCAAATAATCTGAGAAGCTGGATTATATGAAGAAGAATGTGACATCATGATTGGAGGAAGACTCATTAACAACCTGCCATACACAGATGACACAACTTTGCTTGCTCAAAGTGAGGATGACTTGAAGCACTTATTGATGAAGATTAAAGACTACAGTCTGCAGTATGGATTACACCTCAATACAAAGAAAACAAAAATCCTCACAACTGGTCCAATGAACAGCTTCACAATAAATGGAGAAAAGACTGAAGTTTTCAAGGGCTTCATATTACTTGGTTCTACAATGAACACCAATAGAAGCAGCAGTCAAGACATCAGGTGATGTACTGCATTGGGCAAATCAGCTGCAAAAGACCTCTTTCAAGTGATGAAGAGCAAAGATGTGTCCTTGAAGACTAAGGTGCGCCTAACCCAAGCCATGGTATTTTCAATCATCTCTTGTACATGTGAGAGCTGGACAATGAATAAGGAAGATCAAAGAAGAGTTGATGCTTCTGAGTCATGGTATGAGTGAAGTATACTGAAAGTACCATGGTCTGCTAAAAAAACTAACAAATCTGTCCTGGAAGAAGTGCAGCTGGAATGTTCCTTGGAAGCAAGAATGGCCAGATTTCATTTGACCTACTTTGGTCATGTTGTCAGAAGAAATCACTCTCTGGAGAAGGATATCATGCTTGGTAAAGTGGAGGGTCAATGAAGAAGGGGAAGGCCCTCAACAAGATGGACTCACACAGTGGCTGCAATGATGGGCCCAGATATAGCAAGGATTGTGAGGCTGGCACAGGACTAGGCAGTGTTTTGTTCTGCTGTACACAGTCCCTCTATGAGTCGGAGACAACTCGATGGCACCTAACAACAACAACAGCAACGGCTAATGATCATGTGCTGTTCAGCTGCCTGAATGTCTTTTTTAGTGAAGCGTCTGATCATGTCCTCTGCCCATTTTTGAATCAGACTGTTTGTCTTTTTGATGTTGAGGTGTTGCAGTTTTCTGTAAATCTTAGACATAAGTTCCTTGTTGGATATATCGTTGCAAGTATTTTTCTCAATCTGTAGGTTCTTTTGGAGAAGTCTTTTGATGTGTATAAGAATTTAATTTTTAGAAGATCCCAAAACCTAGTTTATCTTTGGCTGTTTGTACATTTTCAGTGATATGTGATAATCTATTTATGTCACAATATCATTAATACCGCAAACAAGCAAAATCTTACTTAATTCAAAAATGGCTGCAGCAGTATACTGACAGAGAACTTCCAGAAATGCAAGCTGGATTCAGAAGAGGATGTGGAATTAGGAATATCACTGCTGATATCAGATGGACCTTCGCTGTAAGCAAAGAATACCAGAAAGATGTTTACTTGTGTTTTGTTGACTATGCAAAAGGATTTCATTGTGTGGATCATAACAAATTATGGATAACATTGAGAAGAACGGGAATTCCAGAACACTTAATTGTACTCATGAGGAACCTGTACATAGATCAGGAGGCTGTCATTTGAACAGAATTAAGAGGATACTGCATGGTTTAAAGTCAGGATGGGAGTGCGTCAGCGTTGTATCCTTTCACCATACTTATTCAATCTGTATGCTGAGCAAATAATCCAAGAAGCTGGACTATATGAAGAACTTGGCATCAGGATTGGAGGAAGACTCATTAACAATATGCAGACAATACAACTTTGCTGGTTGAAAGTGAAGGTGACTTGAAGCACTTCCTGATGAAGATTGAGGAATACAGTCTGCAGTATGGATTACACCTCAATATAAAGAAAACAAAAATCCTCACAACTGGACCAAGCAGCAGCATCATAATAAATGGAGAAAAGACTGAAGTTATCAAAGACTTCATATTACTTGTTCTATAATCAACACCAATAGAAACAGCAGTCAAGACACCGATGACATATTGCATTGGGCGCACTGGCTGCAAAAGACCTCTTTCAAGTGCTGAAGAGCAAAGATGTCTCCTTGAAGACTAAGAGGCGCCTAACCTGAGCCATGAGTATCTTCAGTTACCTCATATGCATGTGAGAGCTGGACATATGAATAATGAATAATAAAGACTGAAGAAGAGTTGATGCTTTTGAGTTGTGGTGTTGGTGAAGAATACTGAAAGTGCCATGGACTGCTAAAAGAACTAACAAATCTATCCTGGAAGAGGTGCAGCCAGAATGCTCCTTGGAAGTGAGAATGGCCAGACGTCATCTCAACTACTTTGTTCAGGTTGTTAGAGGGACCATTCCCTAGAGAATCATGCTTGGTGAAGTGGAGGGCCAACGAAGAAGGGGAAGGCCCTCAACAAGATGGTTTGACACAGTGGCTCCCATGCTGGCTCATGTATAGCAAGGATTGTGAGGTTGGCACAGGACTAGGCAGTGTTTTGTTCTGTTGTACATAGGTCGTTATGAGTCAGAGACAACTCGATAGCACCTAACAATAACAACAACCACCACATTTGTCCCTATTATTTCTTTGATGAACTTTATACTTTTGCTAGCACCTTTTGTTAAAGAGACTATCTCTTCCCCATTGAATTGACTTCAGCCCTTTGTCAAAGATCAGCTGCCATGACTGGATAGATCTATTTCTGGATTCTCAATTTGGTTTCACTGGTCTACGTGTCTGTCATACCAATACCAGGCTATTCTGACTTCAGTGACTGTCTAGTAGGTTTTGAGATCAGAGTATGAGACGTCCTATTTTGTCCTCCTTCTTCAGTAGTGATTTGCTTATCTGAGGCCTCTTTCCTTTTCAGATAAAATTAGTGACTGGTTTTTCCATGTCCTTAAGGAATGTTGATGGAATCTGGATCATGATTGCATTGACTTTATAGATTGCCTTGGGTACAGACATTTTTCAGTGTTCGGTCTTCCTATCCATGAGCATGGTATATTCTTCAACTTATGTGAAAAACAAAAAACAAACAAACAAAAAAAGAACTCACTGCTGTGAAGTTGATTTGACTCATACCGACCCCTCCTTGGGTTTCTGAGGCAGTATCTCTATGGAAGTAGACTGCCCAATCTTCCTTCTGAGGAGTGGCTGGTAGGTTTGAACCACCAGCCTTCTGGTTAGCAATCAAATGCCTATTTTAATCTTGGTTTACAGAGAGAACATCTTTATGGTATAAATATTGATTCTTGTTAATTTGAACATATCTCCCCAAACAGTATCTATTGATCCCTGATTCCATTGAGCAGCAAAGAAGCAATTCCTAGACCTGAAAAGTTCTTTCCCAGTTTCATTACTTCAGGCAAAGGCGCATATTTGGGTAGCTAAATGCACAGAAAAAGTGACTGAGAATGTACGAAGAACACGGAAGACAGGATTGAGGACAATGCAAATAGTACAGGAATGGCCTTGCACAGTGTTGAAGTTAAGAAGCAGCCTTAGATTTAATAAACCAGCTTTTGCCTCATCTTTCTAAGGGGGATATTTTAAGTTTTGTTGCACAGATTAAAGGTCTCATATAAATGTTAAGAATTACACTTCAGAAGGGCTTAGGTTGGGAAAGAGAAGGGCAAAACTCTTCTACTGTCAAAGCTTACCCAACCCTGTATAACTAGAAACCCTTTAATGAAAATATCCTTAGTGCCCACTGTAACAGAGTATCTAACTGGATATAACAAAGGTAAGGCTTTTTTCATTTCAAATGGGCAGAATTTCACCAAGCCATTACACAAAATTACAAAGCGTTCTCAAAGAAGACTTGTGACAGCTTCCAAACCAGCCCTCCTACCAACTATACTGTGCACTCCTAGACATAGCTAGAGATTTGTGGTGAAGATTTAAGTATCTGCTATTGAAAATTTACCAGATACAGTTATTAGATATTTAATATGAGAAATAAAACCTTAGAACTTCAAGACTGCTAATCTAAGCTGGCAAAGAAATGTGTGTGAAAGCTGAATGGTGTGAACTAGAAAGGTGTGAAAGCTGGTCCCACTGACCCGATCCTCCCTCGCATTTAATTATACCTGCTGCTTAAGCTGCTGCACCAGACGATCCTTCTCTCGCTTTAGTGCAGCCACTTCCTCTTGGGTCTTTTTCTTAGAGGATGAAAGTTCCAAAAGTGCTATATTGGCATCTTTTTCACTAATGGCAGCCAGAAGAGCTTCTTGCCTGCAAAAGAAAGGAAATGCAAAGGCTCATTTAATCCCTGCAACACTCTACTGAAATCATTATTGTGATTAGTTCCATTTCATAGGTGATGAAAATGAGGCTTAGAGAGTTTATATACCTTGTCTAGTTCATACTTTTAGTAAACAGCATAGCCAGGAGTACCATTCAGATCTTCCTGATTCCAAATGTCTTTATCATGCTATATATTACCATCCTAATAAAGAGTTCCTAGATACAGATGTAGTTAAAATTGCAATCCAAACCAAGTTAGTAACTTTTATCTTTAGTAAGAATAATCCTGTTTCCTATACATTTTCATCCACTGAACTCATTCCTTTGGTAAGTATTCGTAGCTTCCAGGCAAAGCTGTAATAGTGAAATGGAAAACCCTTTCATGTATAGAGTGTGTAAAAGATTGTAACTTCAGTAAACAGGATTTAGAAAAACAGCCATCTGTTCCTGGGGCATTCTGAACATTGAAAGTTCTTTTTATCTCATCAATCAAATACGTTTCCAGTTGTGGGTTTATTTGGCAACGATCTGCACACTTTGAAACAGTGATTTAAACTTTATAGATTTCTTGTGGTTTAACAAACACTTTATGGTTCATGTCCAGAAGGAAAAAAAAAGGGGGAGGAGTTATTAGGGCAGTGGACGTGACGCATTTACAGAATAATGAGAATGAAGTTGGTGAACAATTAGTCTCAAAGTACAAAATGCATTCCTTAGTAGCTCATCTTTTATATAAGTCCATCTGTAAGAAGTCAGATTTGATTTACTAGAACTATACAAGTGGCCTGAGCTTTTGACCTGAGGAAATGCTGAATTTGAGAATGCACTGCTCAAGGTTAACCTTGCTTCTGTCTTTTGTTAAGATAATTATGCTTCAATAGCAGTCAAGTGGAAGAGTTTTAGTTTAGGCCACAAACTAGAAGACTATCTTTGTAGTCTGCTTACAGGATATTCTTTATTCTGGGTATTAGGTATACTGACCTCTGAACAAGCAACGTTAACAAATAGAGAATGTACATCAGTTTATGTCATGGAAACGAAGATTTGTTTAACCAGTGTTTGCTGCTGGAAGGGACAAATAGAAGATTCTCATTCTCCTCAGTATCACTTTCCACCGTCTCCACATTCACGTAATTCTAAGAAATGGCAGATGGCTTACAACATGAGGCTCCAGTCAACACCAAAGGGATAAGGGCAGTCTAAATATATCCACTAACCACTTGAAAAAAATATGTTAAGTGGTGAAATGAGCTTAAAGGTGAAGGAGTTCAAGATGGTCTCACTATGCACAGTTTCCTGTTGATTGCTGTCATCTGTTCCCTTTCGGAAAGCTCAGAGACTGACAAAGCCGGAATGAGAAATGTGCTTTCTCAGTAAGGTGTAGCATTTCTGAGCACCATTACTCAGAATCACACATTTAGTAACAGGCACATGGTAGAAGATGAAGGAAAGATAAATGACTTCATCTAACTAGATCAAGAATCATTGCCACTGTTGCTGAATGCAAGACACAAAGGTGACAGGATGTGAATTCCACTTTGTGTTTAAGGAAAGTATCATAGCACGAAATAGTAAAAATTGTTCTATATTGGTGAAGCATCCTGACCAAATTCCAAACTCTTTTTATAAATAATATGTTTGGCCAGCTAGTGTGGTATAGCTAATAATCTCTGGGGTAAAATGTCAGATTCCTAAACTGTAATATGATAGATTAGGTGACAATTTAGACTCTAAATTTTAAAACAAGGGATGTGGCACTAAAGTCTGAGCTACTGGAATAATGCTTTTTTTTTTTTTTTAATTGAAATTTTTATTGAAATAATTATAGATTCACATGTCTGGAATAATGCCTTTTAAATAAGATATATAAGTTGAAGTCTATTTTTTTTTTCTTATATAATTCATAGAGATTTTATTTTATCATTGATGCCATTAATTCTTTATTGAGCCTTGGCAGTATGCTATTAACTACATTCAATCAAACTTTCTTCCATACTCTGGGCTCTAGCTCTAATAGATTATCACACTATTCTCTTTCCTATTGAAAAGTATACCCTTGACAGTGATTCCTACATGTGTATGTGCCTAAAAAGGACAATTGATAGTCAAGAGAATAAAATGTTTTGATTATATAATGTGGTAACACCTGGGAAACCCAAAGAGGACTCACTATGAGTCAGATCCAACTCAACGGCACTGAGTTTGGTTTTTGGTTTGGTATACAATCATACAAAGTCTTGTTGTTGTTGTTATGTGCCGTCGAGTCGGACCCAACTCATAACGACCCCTCCTTGGGTTTCCAAGGCAGTATCACTAGGAGCTCTGGTAGCATAGTGCCTAAGGCACTTGACTGCTCACCAGAAGGCTGGCGGTTCAAACCCACCAGCCACTCCTCGGAAGGAAGGCTGGGCAATCCTACTTCCATAGTGATACTGCCTTGGAAACCCAAGGAGGACTCACTATGAGTCAGGGCCGACTCGACGGCAAACAACAACATCACTATGGAAGTAGATTACAAAGTCTAGGTAATGTTAATATCTTTTATGCACATATTAGCTTCTCGGTATTTTGTTTTCAGAAAGGTATAGAGATAGTATTGTTCTCTTTATAATCTTGGTAAATTTGAAATGGATAGTACGGAAAGAACAATTTAAAGAAAAAAAATCTGTGGAGGTTAGGCAAGAAACAGGAAGCTAGTAAATATTAACAGCCATGAGTTTAAGGGAATAAGAAAAATTGTTGTTCTACTAATACATCTGATAGAAAAGACCATATGGATAGTTCAACTTCTGTGGTTTAAGTTTTACAGAGTACAGTCTAAAGTGTCTAAACTAAAAACACCCTGCTTTTCAGAGGGAATGGAATTCAGAATGGGGGAAAAAAAGGTAATGCGAAAAGAGTCTTATTTTAGTAACTACCTACCCTTAATATAATTGCTTCTTTGTAAGAAAGATATTTTCTAATAGGAGTAATATATACTCACTGGAGAAAAACAGAAAAATACAGAAAACAGAAGAAAATAAAAATCACCATAGTTCCTTTTTAACCTGACTCAACATCTTGATATCTGAAAATCTGCTATTTTAATCCTTAATGAGGATTAATAAATGACTTTAAGAGCTTTACTAACTAAAGACTATCCACAGAAAAGGAAGATTTACTAGTCAAGTACATTCTGATTTCATTTCCCATAAGCCCCCAAGGAGTAATACAAGCCCATAAAATGTGAAAGGTAATATATGTATGCCACAAGCCCAAAGCAAAATAAGAACTGCAATGCTCTTCCTGCCAAATTACTTTCCTTGTTCTATTCATGTCTTTTACTCAGTCTAAAAAAAAAAAAAACAAACAGGAAAATGTGTACACAGAACCTTTCAAAGTGATTAGTAACCCCCTACTGCATGACTAACATGCTGTATTACTTGTATAATGAGTAGGTAGCAGAAGAAATTCAACTTTAAGTCACTCCATCGCTGATGCTTTAAACTGCCAGACCAGTTGAACCTGCCCTCTGACCTGCAAATGCTAATAGAATCAAGATGTCTCTAAAAGCACTCTGCTGCAGCTTCAGGAAGTAAGACCACCCCCTCTTTCCCCTGCCCCCTTCTAGGCAAATTTAAGAAACAGAAGGCAAATGTCAAAAGTAAAAGCTCAAAATCCTTTTGATAATTCTTGCATCCTTGAGAACAACACAACATTTGCTTCTATGACAAGTGAAATAATGGATAATAATCAGTGTTAGAATGATGGTGGTTAACAATCTAAGAGTGAGTCTGTAATAAATGTGTGTGTGTGTGTTTAATAGAAATGCAAGAGAGAAAAAGTAGTATGAATGAGGGGATGCTGTTAAGGGTTATTATTTCCTCTTCCTCTAAATAGGTGCTTCAAATGGAATGATTACATAATCACATTCCATACGTGTATAATGATCTTGAAAACATTAGGAAAGAGATAGAATGAAAGCAAGAATGAGATCAGTAGCTTTGGATATTTTAGTATCATGAACATGCAGGTATAGTTCATCTACTCCAATTTTAAGATAAATCTGAAATCTAGATTCCTTTCTGATGGATTAAGTAAGCCTTTGATTTTGTCTGTCTTTTGTTAGTCAACCAATTAACTACCTAGAGTGAGCAATGAACTGCCAGGATTTCTCTTCCATTCTTCCATCTCATTTCCTGAAGAAATCCTTCTGATTTCCAACTCCCCTTTCAGAGATCTCAGAGTATTTGGTAGATACACTGCCTTAAGCTCAGTGAAAGCTATAGTCATGTGGGTGACCCTCTATGGGCAAGCCAGACTGAAATGTTTGATGCCTCAACCTTGGTCCTTGTACATCATACTATCTTTGTAGGGCCTTTACTTAGATACTCAGAAATATTTTTAATGCAAAATGTCAACACTAACCAACTTTTTCTTCCACTGTAACAAATTTTCCCTTCAATGCTAATATTCACTGTCATTGAGTTGATTCCAACTCATAATGACCCCCACTGAATTTCCAAGGCAGTAAATCTTTACAGAAGTAGAGTGCCCCATCTTCCTTCCATAGAGTGGCTGGTGGGTTTTGAACTACCAACTTTCTGGTTAGCAGTCAAATGCTTTAGGCACTATACCACTAGAGCTCCTTATGTTAACAGAGTTGATATATTCCTGGGTCCATAGGCTGACAACATTTAAATTACTTGAATTCTACTTTGCTCCTCATATGCAATATTCAATTTTTATTGATTCTTTCTTTCGAATTTTCAATGAACCCACTTCTTCATATCTGCACAGTCGTTACCACAGTCACTACAATCCTTTTAGTTTAGGCTTATATTATTTTAAATGCCTCTTCTCAGATTCCCCCACCATTCTACACCTTTCCACTCAACCAATGACATTTTCATCAGGTGTCTTACCACATCAAACACTTTGGCTTAATATTCAAGGCCATATTGCTTTGGGAGAAACACTGCTCATACACTGAGGAGAAGTTGTTTACT